ATTGCCTCTAGGACACTCTCGTGCAAATTTGTAGGCAACTTGCTCCTAATACAAAGAAAGATGATCGCATCAGTAATAGTGCATGCACAAAGTTGCACGAGTATAAAGACGTCAAAATGCTCTGAAACTAACTTTACATACTTCATATCAGGTGGTAACCGAGGAAGAACATTGTTCAGACAAAAATCAATATATCCTCCTGCTTTCAACAATAAATCGACAGCATCTCTCATGCAATCTGCGTATACACATAGCTGATGATAAGCATTTACTCAAAATTTTCCCTGTTGATTTGTAATTCGCAATGCTCGTTATGTCAGGGAAAGAAACCTGCAGATACGACCCTCTCAGACAAGCTATTATCATTAGGAATCAACTTAATGTTTGCCTCAGTCAATGTTAACATAGCCATCATGTGAAGAACAGATAGTAGTTCAAACCAGGAGTTTGCTACACAGATTCCCTACAAATTAACACAATTAGACATCAATTTTCAGTTCAATCAAACCAAATGACAGTTATATCCTTGACAAATTCTCACCTGAAGGCCGTCTTCTAAATCTTTCCATTTGAATTCAACCAATTCTTGAAGCCCATATTCTATTAATCAAGTCAATTTGTCAAATCATGTACAGAGGCAATAAAGAATGCAAAGTGTTAAGTATTACCACACATTCACATTTAGTACCCATTTATTAACCACAAATTTTGTGGGATCCAATATTATTCCTTTAAAAAGTTACCAAGGCCATGTTCGATTGGCCATTATTTTCCATGGAAAATGGAATTCAAATTCCAACTTCCACTTTTTGGTTGTTTGATAGCATACTTTTTTCATGGAATTAATTTTCTTGGTTTTCTTGGAAAGTGTTGATTTTCTTGATTTTCACGGAAAATCAATTCCCACCTTGGTTTTCTAGGTAGGCTGTCGATTTATTTATTTATTTTTTTCCCCAATGGAAACAAATTCTATTCTGAATTGTAAAAAAAATATTTTTCTTTAATTGACAATCTCCATGTAAAACAAAATCAAACGAACAACAAAAGATAGATGATTTTTTTTTTTTTT